TGTCATTAATTTTTGCTTGCTTTTCAAGGGGAGATGTGAACAAATCTCTACTACCCCCAGATAGGGCACTGACAATTGACCAAAGTCATGATTCCATGCAAGTAAGGAGCTAACAGTTGTGTAGGTGACCCAAAAGAGGTACATCACTGCACAGTCCCACCCCATCATGAACAGAAGCTATTTTATGGAGTTCCACCTGCAGTTAATCTACCTCCTGTATATTCTAGCAATACCCCTTTTGCAAAGATCTCTCAGAGCTGTAAGACAGGAGGAAAAGGTATGCAAAATCCTAGGTGAGGGTCAGTTGACTCCACCTCTTGTATTAAAAGAGTGTCAATAGCACCATTACCATTACCCTAGACTTAACATTGCCATAACTATGGAGCAAACGTCATCTCTGTCTTCTGTTCCATGATTGCTGATCATCATGTCAGCCCTTTCCTTTGCACTCAGCATTTCTTCTTGTCCTTCAGTGTTGTCCCCTGAGCTTTAAAGGGGATGATGTGCTTATAATACTCTTGAGCATTGTGCCCCTTGTCATATTAACAATCACATATTGGCATTTAACTAGTTTTGAGTCTTCATATAGTTTTTCTCCATAACCAAAATTGATAGCAGCAGTAATAAGTACATGTTATGATAAATCTTTCTGCCAAAAGCCGCCAAGCCCCACCGCCACGTGTATGCTTTACGCCAGCCACCCACCTGAGTTAGGGCCCACATTAATACACAGAAACTTGTATTAGGTTCAAATGCTGCTTGGCCAATGACTAGGATTCTCATCTGTTAGCTCAGTCTTAATTATCATAAATCTATATATTTTATAAGACTTATAGAGGATGCCTTCTGCTGATGCCCTCTCTTGCCAGTGATTCACATTGCACCTCTGGAGGAGGCGCCAAGGGGGAAATGGACACTTCCTGTTTCTCCTTGCTTAAATATGAGTCTCCTTGCTATGTTACTTCCTGCCTGGATCACCACTTATCTACTACATTTCCTGACTCCGAGTCCTGCCTAACTTGCTGCCAATGGCCAAACAGTATTTTATTTAACAATCAATAAGATAAACATACACAGAAGTACTTTCCCCATCAAGTATGCTTAATACCAAATACTTAGAAGGCAGTTATATAGACACGTAACATGTATTAATAGCAGTTGCTGGTTTTTCTTGCCACTTTGCCACCACCGAAGGGAGGAAAAGGGAGTTGTTCTAATGGTCTACACTCATACACATACCATTAAAATATATATATATATATATGATTTGTTCTTATTTTTTTGTGTTTGCCTGTATATACTTACATGCACCCACACATGTAGAACCATGTAGAGGCCAGAAGAGGATAGCAGAAACCCTGTAACGAGTTATTTGCAGTGGTGACCCTCTATCTAGATGCTGGAAACCAAACTTGTTTTCTCTTCAAGAGTAGCAAGTGGTCTTAACCTCTGAGCCATCTCTAAAGCCCCAAAGTAGAGCCACTTTGAGGAGTCAGTTCCAGATACCAAGCCCAAAGCGAAGGATGTGCCAGTCTGTAATCTCAGTGTCCTTCATGGTAGAGGGGCTTGAATAAAAATTGCTTCTCACTCCTCTCCTGGCACTGACATTCTGAGATACAGGATTTGAAATTGAGAGATGTAGGTAGGTTGGAGCCGGTAGTAGTCCGGTTTTTTGAGACTAAGTGAGGTAGCAGGATTGTTTGAGGCCAGAAATTCAGGGTCAACCTCAGCAATGTAGTAAGACTCAGGCTCAAGAGCTATATAGATAAACAAATGAAGGAATATGTAATCCCCACCCCTTAGGAGGCTGGGAAAGGAGGGTTATTAGTGGGAGGCTTGCATAGACTACAGTGAGTTGAGAACAATTTAGTCAGTCCCTGCCTCAAAACAAACAGGATTAAGGATGTATCTCAGAGGTGGAGTGCTGCCTAGCATGTGCAGTGCAAGGGCGTGGCTTCTATCCTACCACCATTTTTTCACATGCACACAAGTTTTCTCCTGAATGTTGCATGGCCCAGCATGTGGTCTATGTTAACAGCTAATGTAAACTGAGCTCCTGTGCAGGGTCCATTGTAGTTCGGAGCTATTCAGAGTAGGCAGAGCAATAGGTCTTGCAAAGGACACATCCAGCCTGGCTGTGGTAAGTAGCAGGAAGGAGAACAAGACCTTCCCTCCATGTCCACTCCCTGCAACTTCAGCTTCCTGAGAAAGCTGGGACACTGTGAGAGTCCAACAGCTGGGTGGTAGTTGGAATTTATTTGGCTTTGGTTCCCATAAACTCAGAAAGTGGCATGCTTAGGTGGTGTGGCCTTGCTGGAAGAAGTGTAGTCTTGTAGGAGACTGGATGACAAGTGCCTTTAATCCAGACCTCGAGGCTGGAGGGCACACCTCTAGTCTGGGCCACACCTTCTGTTGGAAGTGTGTCACTGTGGGGGCAGGCTTTGAGGTCTTTTTCTCAAGCTTCACTCGGTGTGATAGTCAAGTTATTGTTGTTGCCTACAGGCGGTAGGACACGACTATTTCTCCAGTACTGGGGTTGGGGTTGGGGTTAGGGTTAGGGTCCCACCACTGAACCAGGACCAGGACAAATAACTGTGGGGCTACCCACGCTTCCCTGAGAGGATTACTTTTGTTTCTTGGTCACTGTGGTTGGAGGGAGGAGGGGTTCTTAAAGACCTGTCTTCCCAAGACCTCACTCCACCTCCAAAGTCAAAAGTGACAGGAGTTTGGTGGCAGGTTTGCACCTTTCCCCTCTGGAACACTGATGGATTGACAGAGGGCCTTCACTGCAGACAAGGCCTCAGCAGCTAGTGAGTGGTGGGCTGGAGTCTGCCACCTCTCTTGGGATGTGGGAAAGGCCTTGGCTTCACTCCTTTCCCCAGAGGCTGAGCAGCCAGGGTCCCTGTGGTCAGACAGAGACAGGAGCCAGCTTTTCTCCCTTGCCCTTCCTGGGATGGTGAATGCTCTGGGCTGAGGCAAGGTCACTTGTATTTTACCCTCAAATGTACCTGGAGGTAAAGGGATCACAGAGGTCCTCCCTCTACCCCCAGGGAGCTCTTGTTCCTCAAGGGCTCTACAGCACTTTTTTTCTTGAGATGAAGTTAGCTCTGCCAATCAACTCCTAACTGGTTGACTGTCATTCATAGTTGATATGTTGGACTAATATGTACTGATGCCCATTTGGGGATAATTTGTCTTATCCTAAACTCAATTTTCTGACCCACTGGGAACTGACACTGACTCTTCACACCTCCTCCTGCCTCCTCTCCTCCCCCTGAACCTTCCCTCACTCCCTTCCCCCATTTCTCAGTTTCTCTCCGCTTTCCTCCTAGCCTTTCCCTGGCTCTTCTCCCTCTGGCCCCACACCCTCTGCCCACCGCCTCCTCTCCCGCCCCCTCGTGCCCTCCCCTTCCCAGTCCTCTGCTCCTGTGCATCTGATCTCAGAGCATGGAGCACGGAGTTGCAGGTGTGCCCCCTTCCCCAGACACGTGCATGCTAAAGCAACTGCAGTGACTGCACAGCTTGTTCCACCTGACACCCAGAGTGAAGTCCCTCTCAGGACTCCAGGAGGCGCTGGCCCTGTTCCCGAGCACTTTGTTTTTCCTCGGTTTCATTGTTTCATTTTTGTTCATACAACACTTGCCCGAGCAGTGAGGGAGGCAAACATCTAACTTGTGAGTATGTAACCTGAAGACCAAGCCGGCAGTGGATGGATGCCAGACAAGCAGGGTTCCCCCAACTCTTCCTCCTTAGAGACATCCTTGAAGGTCTCACCCTTGATGTAGAAACAGATGCCAAGTATGTGAGGACTTTGAGACTTTGAGAAGCAGAGGTAGAAACGGTAGATGTGGAGGGAAGGGGGTTATGGCAACTTCTTAGGTATAGGGGTTATGGTAGAGATAGGGTTTAAAAGGGTTAGGACAGGGTCAGGGTAATAGGGGTGAGGGTGGAGGTGAGGGTCAGGGTCAGAAGTCAGGGTCAGGGTCTGAGAGTAGATGACTTCACAACACCTTTTTTTGGCTCAGTGTTGGAGGCGTGATGACATCATGATGTGGCTCCAAGTTTGTATCTCAACCAGTAATTCTCCTGCCTGGGTCAGAATGGAAGCTCGGGTGGTATTAATAACGTGACAATTCATTCTAATTTATGACGATGTACGTTAACTCACTGTGACGTGATCATTTATGCTAATTTATTATATTGACGCACAGATTCCTCAATCTCTGGGATCTCTTGTTTTCAGGGAAACAGAGGACCTGCTGGGGAAACTGAGGCACGGGCTTCCTGCGACTCCACAAGTAGAGTGGTAACCCACACATTTTGAGGGACGAATGATGGACAGGTAGCACCGCGGGAGGAGCACCCAGGAGGTCAGTGTAAGAGTCAGTGAGCACTCTACAGAGCACTGCAGCTATCAGGGAGAACTGTGTGAGGAGCATGGCCATCACTGGTGCAACATTCAGGGAACACTGCCTGTCGAGCACCCCTGTAGTCAGTGAGCACCCTCTGTGGAGCACAATACTCTCAGCGAGTACTGTGTGAGGACAATCCCTCCTGGAAAGCACTGTGTGGGGATCACCCGGTTGTTAGTGAGCATAGTGTGGGGTGCACGAATTCTCAGGGAGCACCATAGGGGGAGCATCAGGCCATCAGGGAGCATTGTGTGAGGAGCATCTCACCATCATAAGCACACATAGGGAACATCCTGTGGTCAGTGAGCAGTTTGAGGAGCATCCCATAGTCATAGAGCACCATGTGGGGAGCATCAGGCCATCAGTGAGCACCATCTGAGGAGCACTCTGCCATCATGGAGCACCTCATGGGGAGCATCCCATGGATCATTGCATGGGAAACCACTCCTTCATCAGGGAGCACCATGTGGGGAGTACACTACCCTCAGTGAGCACTGTGTGGCAAGCACATCACTGTCATGGAACTCCACATGGGGAGCACTTCACCATCAGGGAGTACGAAGTGGGGAGTGTCGGTGAGAACTACACTCACACATCCTCCCCTGAGCAGCCGCAGAGCGGAAAGGCAGCACCACAACAGGGCTGCAGCCAGGGTTTCCAGAGTGCGTTGAAGGTGGAGAGCTGGCGGGGCGTGGGGGTAATGGTGGCTCGATGCTCCCTCACGGCCCCTGCCATCTTGCCGAGCACCATATCGAACAGCACCTCATTGTCTGGGCTCAGCGGATGTGACTCTGAGGGGTCTCTTGAGATGTCAAAAAGCAGGGGCGGGTCATGGTGGGTGACGTGACCCGAGCAAGCACACACACCGCTACTGTGGCAGGCGTCCGGGCCTTCCCGGGAGACTTTGGGGGTGACGTAATGGGCCTTCCACACAGTGTTGCCTGCACAAGGGAGTAACCACATGACGAGACCCTCCCCCACCCCCATGGATTTCCTTCCATGTGACCCATGACCATCATGGAGGGGACCCAGGGGAACACGCTCAACAGTGGTGGCAGAGGGGCGAAACTAGATGACATGATTGTGACATGAGGATCATCGACTATCCAAAGGTCGAAGGATGGTTATCTCGAGATATTTTCAGAGGCTTCTTCCTCACCCACTTCCTCTCCCTCACTTCCTCATCCTCCTCATTTCTCCCCTCTTCCCCACAATTCAGCTTCCCCATCCCTTCTTCCATTTCCCTCCCTCTTCCTCCTAACTTCCTCTTCCACTTCCTCTCCTCACCACCTCTGCTACCCCTCTCTCTTCCCCTTCACAATTGCTTTCTCTTCCATTTCCCCTTCCTCTTCCATCCTCTTCCTCCCAACTTTCTCTTCCCCTTCCTCTCCTCGCCACTTCTCCTACCCCCCTCCTCTTACCCTTCCACACCTGCTTCCTCTGCCATTTCCACTTCCTATTCCTCTTCCCATTTCCTCCTCATTTCTGCTCCCACTTCCCCGCCTCCTCCTCCACTCCCTCTTCCTTTCCCATTTCCTTCCTCTTCCTACTTCCTGTTTCATCACCTCTGCCTCTCACTTCCTCTAACTCTTCCTCTTCCATTTCCACTTCTTTATTTCCCCTTCCTCTTCTGACTTCCGTTTCCTCTTCACTTCTGCCCAGCCCTATCCCCACTCACAGTCCTTCTGGTGCCACCGGACGCTGTGTAGGAAAACGCCACAGTAGTGGAACAGGAACTCATGGTCTGAGCGGGGCACACGGCCCTCCAGCAGCGGCATCAGATTCTGGCCATCAATCACTCTTCGTGCATGGAAGCAGAAGAGGAAGTTGGGGTGGGGGGTGGCAGGATTTCAGTACAAACCCACCACTTCAATCATTCCTAAGGACACGCCCACAGCCCTCCCTCAGGCTCTGCCCACAATCGGCCCCACCCCCTCAGCACCTGTCCTGGGGGAGGATCCCGCCGCCCACGTGACTTAGGGTGGGGAGCAGGTCCATGAGGCTGGTGGGCTCCTCGATGACCAGTCCTGCCTCCAGCACCGTGGGCCACCGGAAGATACCAGGCACGCGCACTCCACCCTCCCAGCCGCCAGTGCCGCTGCCTCCTGTCACATGACCAGCGTAGGGGTAGGTGAGAGGGCTGACTGCAGGCAGGGTGACTGCAGCCCAGCCCCGGGTCCCGGATTCAAATCTTGTGCCCTACCCCACGTGGAGGGGTGGGAGAGAGGAATACATTGCAGGTGGCCTTTGACTTCCGCACAGAGGCTGGGGTAGGGGACCACAGTGCATTTGGGGAGCCCTCACTCACCCCTGTAGACCCCAGAGCAGCAGCCAGCACGGGCCCCATCCTCCTGGGCTTCCAGGCGGCCACCATTGTCCGATGTGAAATAAACCAGGGTCTGATTGGTCAGGCGCTCCCGGTCCAGGGCCGCGAGGACCTTCCCTGGGGGGATGATAGAAGACAGGGCCACGGGTGATGCAGGGGCGTGACCTAGCTTGTGACGGAGGCAAGGGGCGGGGCCTACAATGAGCAAGTGGGGCGGGGCGGGGCGGGGCGAGCCCTGCAGCAACTGCCCTTAGTGCCCACTTAGAGGTGAGAGCACTCTCCCTGTGGACGTTGCTGCGCTGCGGGTCCTGGGGACACGTGGGGTGACATCACATGTGATTGGAAACATCCTAGGGTTCACACATATGTCATTTCCGCCGACGTTAAATGACAATATGATGCCATCACTCAGATCGCGGGATGCGTCATTATTAAATCACACAGTGACGTCACCTGACGACGACGCAGTCATATTTGCTTCCCATGCTCGGGCACGTGCTACTCACCCACCATCCAGTCCAGCTCCTCTACATTGTCCCCATATGGCCCGAACTTGCTGTGGCCCACGAAATGCCCGCGCGTAATCAGTGGCGTGTGCACGTGCAGGAAGGACAGGAACAGCAGGAATGGGCCACGCTTATGCCTGCAGGGGAATTCAGGGAGGGTCACATGACCCCTCAGGACACGCCCCCGACCTTCTGCTGGACATGATGTCACCTGTCAATGAAGGCCAGCGCCTCCCTCAGCATCAGCCCTGCTGCGCGGGTCTCCTCAGCGGGCTGTTGGATGACATCATGGTCACGCATGATGACGCAGTTCCACCTGCGCATGAAGCCATAGCTGCTGAACCAGGACAGGAAGAAGACTGCAGCCAGGAAGCCGCAAGCGGCCACGAGCGTCCAGGGGACAGGAAACCAGCGCGCCAGGCGGGGCACCAGCAGCAGGAAGGGTAGGGCGGCCAGCACTGCTGACGTCACCCACACCTGGACGCGCAGCCAGCGGTGCACTTCCGGCCAGGTGCGGGCGCCGCAGTCCCCCAGCAGCCCCAGCGGCATCCCGTAGAAGAAGTCGAAGCCATGGTTGAGCGGGTGCGCGCAGTGGTCACCTCGGGACGCGCAGCTCATGCCCAGGTGCCATTTCCCTGAATGGGAGGGGCAGGGTGGGGCGGGGTGACGTCACTGGCACAGCATTGTGTTGACCCACACCACCACGCCCCTGCGTCACCCTAGGTGGGACTGTCCTGAGGGCCTTGTGGGCATGTCCCAGTAGGTGAGGGGCACCGGGGACACCGGAAGCCCGCTCCCTGCCGGGCCTCCAGCATGAGTCCACCACCCTGCAGTTGACCACACATGTCACGTGAGCAGCTAACTTCCACCCAGGAAGTGAGAACTAAATTACCCTTTCCCTCCAGGAGGCTTTGTCAGGTGTCAATCACAGGTGTCATCCTGGGCAGGAAGACCCGCCCCCTAAATCCTACCTGGCCACACACACATGATACTCCCCCCACCTATGACCCCTAACCCCTACCTCAACCCCTCTCAGCTATGACCTCTCCTAGCTGCCAACCTCTTCCCCCAGCTATACCCCATCCTGTTCGCTCTCCTCCCGTGACCTGTGACTCCTGACTCCTCACCTTCCCTCAGACCTCCCCTCTATGACTTATGACCCCCTGTCCTCCCTAACCTCTCATGTCTGTGACATGTGAACCCTGACCCCGTCCCTCTGCCCATGACCAGTGACCTCTGTCCCCTCACCTCTCACCCATGACTTCCTCCCCTCCCTAGCCCTCCTCCCCCTCCCTTCTCTGACCCCTGACCCCCGACCTATAAGTCCTGTGCGGTATCCCCGGTGCTGCAGCATCTTGGCGAACGTTGTCTCATTGCTTGGGAGTCCGCCCGATCCGCCCAACCACGTGATGTCACGGTACATGTTGTTGGGTGACGCCATGCCTAGGGTAGCAGAGGTCAGAGAGTCACAGGTTCTCCTGCCAGCAGCTCTCTTAGGACCCCATCATGACGTCGTCGGTACCCTTGGGAGGCTGTGGTGATGTCGGCGCCCCAAGGACAATGGACATTCTCACATCAGCTCCCCCAGGGTCTCCCACTCCGAGGAACTAACAGGGATCACGTGAGGACATGAAGTATATGCACATATATGTAAATTTATGCGCGAGCCAGTTAGCACGTATGACTGAGAAATCAGCCAAGGAGCACAGTCTCTGCAGAGAGAGCAGTTTGGGCAATGGCAGGCACACAGTGCGTGCTGGGTAGGGGGCTGCCCGCGATGACGTCAGATCACACGGTACGCACCTGAGCGCACGGGATAGCGCCCTGTGAGGAAGGCTGCGCGGCTGGGCGTGCACATGGACGCGGCTGCCAGATGCTGCGTGAGCATCACGCCCTCTCTTGCAAGACGGTCGATGTTCGGGGTGCTGTGGGGTCACAGGGAGGTGGCAACTGCGGGGAGCCGAGTCACTGCCCACAGCACAGCTGCAGACTCGGACTTCTGCAAGATGGCCGCCACCGCTGCGGGTGACTCGGTTTACCTGATGGAGCTGTTCCCGTAGCAGCCTAGGTCCCCCACACCCAGGTCGTCGGCCATGAGCAGCACGATGTTGGGGCGGGAGTTCCGGGTCAGGAACTCGCCACGCGTGTCTGCGAAGGCGAAGCAGAGCGAAAGATACAGCCAGAGGGTCCTGGAGAAGTGGGGAAGGTCCTCAGTGTGGACCCCACCAGACACGCCCACAGCCCTTCCTAACCAATCATCCTTCAGTACACGCCCACAGCCCTCCCGTGTCAATCATCCTCCAGGACATGCCCACAGCCCTCCCAAGTCAATCATCTCCTAGGACACGCCCACATGCAGGTAATGGAGTATCCTCTCACCATGTGTCCTGCATCCTCTGTCCTGGGAAGAAAAACACAAAATCAAATAGAAAACATGTAACTTTGATCACATGTCACCTGCAAGTGACCTAGCAGTGTGGTCATGCTGACGTCACTCAGACTTAGATCAATCGAGGAAACATGGCTGCCCAGAGCGGGGCTTATTTCACACCAGGTGGGAAATATTTCTCAGGTTTACAGGAAATGACAAAACTTCCAATTGTGCCCAATGTGTGACCTGTTTCCCAGCAAGGAACACTAGTCAGAGGTGGGGCCACCTGTAAAGGGTGGAGCCGAGAGGGAGGAAGTTTTGTAATTGTGTGCATTTCCTTCAAAGAGACACAGGTAGTGGTTTCTTCTCTGTATCTACTTCCTGTCCACTGTGATGTCAGCAGCTGGCATCAGCAGTGCTCCCATGATGCCCTGCTCCATGATGGGCAATGTCCTTCTGTATATATGTTTTTCTTGCTAGTTGATGAAGAAAACACTGTTGGCCAGTAGCCAGGCACAAAGTATAGGCGGGGCTACCTGTCAAGGAGAATTCTGGAGCAAGGACACAGAGAGGAGCTGTCAGGGAGACACCATGCAGCTACTTACTGGGAAGGTAGGCTGCAGCCCAGGCGTTCTCTGGTAAGATAAGGCCATAGATACATAGCAGAGTAGTTATGGGTTAATAATTAAGAGAGAGCTAGCCAGTAAGAAGCCTGAGCCACCGGCCAAAGAGTTTATGATTAATATAAGTCTCCATGTGTTTATTTGGGGCTAAATGGCAGTGGGATCAGGCAGGAAAGAAACTCAGTCTCATGGGGACATGGGAAGAAGACCCTGTGCACACCTGGTGAAGGATGTGGGATAGTCTGGACTAAAACCATTATAACCACTGATTCCTCATTAACACCCACAATGCCACGCGTTCCGAGGCCCAGATGAGTGCATGCATCCTTGCATCAGTCCCTGCTGCTTTGATGGAGAGGACCCACGGCTTCACAAACTCTTCCGGAGGTGGGAGGGGCAGAGTTGTGGGCAGTAATTAATCCTCCTGCGTCTTTGATGTCCCAGGGTTACCCCAGGGTGACCCCCAATCACTTAGACGTGGCTATTATGTCGGACATGGTGAGGGGTCCAGAATCGGCAGGGATCAAGGATAAAGTTCAAAAGGGACTTAGGTGGGGTTAGACAGGGTCAAGCAGAAAACATGGGGTGTGCTGGGCGGGCCTGATGTCACATGAAAACCATGTGACCTTCCATGGTCTTGGGAGAATGTGCAGACATATACACAGAAATTTGCGTATTCCTGTCAATCAATTCCACATCATTTCCAGTCATACCCAGATCCCAGCTACCCCTGTCAATCAAATACTCATTTCCCTCATGGCCCTGACCCAAATCACAGCTGTCAATCAAACATGTCCTTTTCCTTCCTGACCTAAACCCGGTCTCAGCTGTCAAACACATCATTTCCCACCACACCGTGGCCAGGACCCTGGTCACAGCTGTCAGTCAAAGGCAAATCATCTCCCATTATGACCAGGACCCCATCACCCCTGTCAGTCAAAGGCAAGTCATCTCCCATCAAGACAGACAGAGGGAGGGACAGACAGCTCCTGTCCCCAGTAGACAACACTGAAAACTCCCTCAACAGCACTCACGAGCTTTCCCCAATCCTGGGGTCACCCCTGCTAGGGTCAAGAGTCATAGAGAACCACCCAAGTCCTCTCCCCCTCCCCAGTGTGTGGCAATAAACTGAATAGTCAACCAACAGCACTCACCCTGAGCTCCTGTTGCTGCTCCTGCAAAGGGAAACAGTCAGTCCTTCCTGTCGGCAGGGACACTGGTCGGGCCTCATTAGCATATCCAGGGGATCCCTCCTGATTAGCATAATTAACTCTCCCACCGTCCTCATTAGCATAATTAAGTATTCCTTGGATCTCATTACTGGGATTACATATTAATTAGGGCGTCTGGCCTCCACTACCCTCCTTTCCGGGCCGTTTATAGAGTTTTAATGATAACTCAGAAGGAGTGAAGCTGGGGTTGTGCAGAGGTCAAACCACAGGTCTCACAAGGACTCAGAGGCTCACATGTCAATCACCGTCGCAGAGAATTTAGGGCGGGAATTAATGAAGAATAAATGGGAGGGACCTGTGTGTTATGGGAGGGGCCTTGTGCCTGATGGGAGGGGTCTGTGTATTATGGGAGGTGCCTGGTGCAGGCTGGGAGGGACCTGTGTGTTGTGGGAGGGGGCCTTGTATTATGGGAGGAGCCTTGTGTTATAGGAGGGGCCTGTGTGTTATGGGATGGGCCTGTGTGTTATGGGATGGACCTGTGTGTTATGGGAGGGGCCTGTGTGTTATGGGAGGAGCCTGTGTGTTATGGGAGGGGCCTGTGTGTTATGGGAGGGGGCCTTGTATTATGGGAGGGGCCTTGTGTTATGGGAGGGACCTGTGTGTTATGGGAGGGGCCTTGTGTTATGGGAGCGGGTCTTGTATTATGGGAGGAGCCTTGTATTATGGGAGGAGCCTTGTGTTATGGGAGGGGCCTTGTGTTATGGGAGGGGACTGTGTGTTATGGGAGGGGCCTGTGTGTTATGGGATGGGTTCTGTGTGTTATGGGATGGGTTCTGTGTGTTATGGATGGGCCTGTGTGTTATGGGAGGGGCCTGTGTGTTATGGGAGGGGTCTGTGTTATGGAAGGGGTCTGTGTGTTATAGGATGGACCTGTGTGTTATGTGAGGGGGTCTGTGTGTTATGAGATGGGTTCTGTGTGTTATGGGAGGGGTTCTGTGTGTTATGGGAGGGGTTCTGTGTGTTATGGGAGGGGTCTGTGTGTTATGGGAGGGGCCTGTGTGTTATGGGATGGGTTCTGTGTGTTATGGGAGGGGCCTGGTGCATGCTTGGCCATCCCCACACTGTGTGTGCCCACTTGGGCTCCCACACTTGCTGCTACTGTCACAGTGCCACCAAGCTAACTTGTACAGATCTCCTTAAGGAAGTCAGGTGGCCCTGCAGTTCCTGCTGGTCTAACCCCCTGCCCTGTGGTCTAACTCCACCCCTGTAGTTATTTTTGTAGAAACTTACAGCATCCAAAGTCTGAGCGGCCGGGAGGGGCGGAAATTCTCGAACTCAAATTGAATTAAACATGAACCCCTGCTGCCCAGGCACGTACAGGCAGCGGGAAACCGGTTCCAGCCGGATCCACGTCGACCCCGCCCGACGAGACAGACGAGTTACTCCTGGGTGGAGGTGGGGGGACACACGGAGGAGCTGACTAGGAGCAAGGTTATCGGCTGTAACCAGCTGGACGGTGAGTCCCTGTGGGAGGCGGAGGGGCAAGAGGAGGGGGGCTGCGCCTGCCCGCGATCAGGGACCGAGGACAGGCAGCCTGGTCATGGGGGGAAGGCGGGAGGGAGGAGAAAGTTCGCCCTCCCCCACCCTGGGGAAGAAAAGCAAATAAATCAAAGGATCTTTCTGTCCACATGGGAGGTCTGCGTTGGAAACCATCGGATGAAGAAATGTTGGTTGACAAAACATAAGTTATTTTTGCAGAAAAAGTTTGGAGGAGTTGGGAAAACTAAAATTGAATTAAGACGGATGAGAATCAAAAGCTGGATTAGGAAACGAAGTTGAATAAGAATTTAAAAAATGGAAATGGCATTTTAAAAATAAAATTAAAGATTAAATTTAAAGATAAGAAATCCAAACAAATGAAATTTGGAAGCGCACTGAAACGAAAATTAAAACAGAAATAAAATTAAATTCAAAATTAAAAAATAAAACACTGCTTGTTGGCCGCTGTGTGTCATATATGAAAACGTAAGTCAATAAACAAAGAGCGAAACTTCGTCAAAATCATTATTTCTATAAAGTTTTGACAAAGCAAGACTCAAAAATTAAAGTTTTTTTAAGTTTTAGAATATTAAAGATTTTAAATGTTTTTTTAAAAATTAATACTTAATTTTTTCACGACTCCACCAATTTACCATTTATACCCTCAGCCCTGGAACAATTCCAACCTGATTGCAGGACGGAAAATTCTCAGGAATCAAAATATTTCCACATGGCATGTCCAGAGGGGTGGTAATTGGATGATGATATTTATTTTTAAATTCACAATTTCAACTGAAGTTAAAAATGTATGCCTAGCGGCCTTCTCCCATACTGCACAGGCCATTCCTCTCCTAGAATGCACAGACCCTTCCCAGCATGAACTAGGCCTCTCCCAGCATGCACATCTCCCTCCATATTACACAGGCCCCATTCATCACTCATCAGGGGTCCCCTCCCAGAATTCGCAGACCCTTCCTAGAATGCACCAGGCCCTCCGATAATATACACGCCTCTTCCAGCATGAACCAGGCCCATCCCCAAAATACATAGGCCCCTTCCAGCATGAACCAGGCCCCTCTATTTCTGGTGGGCTGTGGGCCTGACCTGAGGGATGACTGACAGGGGAGGGCTGTGGGCCTGTCCTGAGGGATGACTGACAGGGGAAGGCCATTCCCACTGTGGACTGCACTATCACCCAGGCAGGGAGGGGCAGGGACTGCGCGGGCGTCCTTCCTGTCACGTGGTCACTCATCTTGTGTTTACTTCTTGCAGAGATCCTCAGGCCAGAAGCATCATGCCACATTACCCACGTACCTGGTAAGAGAATCTCCTAGAAGTCCCTGTTGTGGAAACTTAATTGATTGACAATTTATAATTACCTGTGAATTAATGCTGCGCACACCCACGGTGGCCAGAATTCGCCACCGGATCCCTGGACCCGCATGTTGCTGCCCAACATGCACTGCAGTGATGACGTCAACGCTCTCTCCTTGGTGATGGGGACAGAAGCTGGAGAGATGACGTGTCACTCGTGTTCCAGGAGCTGCCTTGCCGCCTTACTGGGTGTCTTCCTGGGCCTGGAGCCGGTCCTAGGCCTGGACGCGCCACGGTCTCGGCCCAACTTTCTCCTGCTCCTGGCAGACGACCTGGGCATCGGGGACGTCGGCTGCTATGGCAACAGCACCATCAGGTGAGGAGGGGAAGGCCTGGGGTCCCCATAATGCTCCTTACCAGGATACCCATAATGCATCAGGATATGCAGGCACCCCAGGGAGCATCACCTAGAGGTCAGCTCAGGATTTCCCATGATGCCCAGTGAGACTGACGTCAGGGTTGCATGTGCATGCGTGGGCTCCCACTCCATGCTGCGCTCCCCTCCCCCACAGGACCCCAAACATCGACCGACTGGCAGAAGGTGGCGTGAGGCTCACACAGCACCTGGCAGCCGAGGCCGTGTGCACGCCCAGCAGGGCCGCCTTCCTCACCGGGAGGTACCCCATCCGCACAGGTGAGCAGCCCTGCGTGCCCTGACCGCCCACATCACTGCCCCACTCCACCCGACCTGCTGGTGATGTCACTTCCTCCCTTGGCCCTACCCCTTTGTACCCTCGATGGCTCATGACCTGACTTCCTCCACTAGGCATGAGGGGTAATACTACTTCCTGTACTCGGCCCCATCCCTAAGTCCCTCCCACTGACCTACGACTCCAGTCACGGATGAGCCCACCAATGATGTCACTCCCCCACTAGGACCCACCTATGACATCACTCCCCTACTAGGCCCACCTATGACATCACTCCCTCCCACTAGGCCCCACCGATGACGTCACTTTTCCCCCGGGTCTGACTCCTAAATACTTCTACTGACCTCTATGACTTCATCTATGGATGATCCTATTGGTGAGGTCACTTCCTCCCACTAGACCCCACTGTTGGCACCTTTCTGTTATTCCCCCACTGATGACGTCACTTTTTCCGATTATGCCCATCTGATGACATTGCTTCTTCCTTTTAGGCTGCACTCCTAAGTTCCTCTATGAGAGGCAGGGCCAGGGGCATCTGGGAGCTGTGGGAGGCAGGGCCAAATCCTGTGTCCACGTCCTACTGTGTGTTCAGATGCTACTATGTGCTCCATGTCTTCCTGACTCATCCTCCTTCCCGTGTAGGCATGACTTCCGGTAACGGCCACCGCGTCCTCCAGTGGGCAGCAGGTGCGGGCGGCCTTCCCCCCGAGGAGATCACGTTTGCAAAAATCCTGAAGGAGCAAGGCTATGTCACAGGCCTTGTCGGTGAGTTCTCTGGGGTGGGAGGTAGGGGTGACGTCACCTGACTGGGAGTGGGAGGGTGCGGTCATGTGATGTGCAGCGGGTGGTGACGTCACATGAGTTGGAGGGCCGTGGTGATGTCACCTGGCCACCAGCACCTGCCCTGGCCGTCACGCTTTGCGTTTCCTCTCCTTCCCCGCCCAGGGAAGTGGCACCTGGGTCTCAACTGTCACAACACCTCTGACCACTGCCACCACCCACTGAGTCACGGGTTCCAGCACTTCCTGGGGCTGCCACTGGGCATGATGGGGGACTGCGCGGGGGCGGAGCCCTCTGAGAAGCGCATGACACTGCAGTACCGCCTGCACCGGTGCAGCCAGGCGTCGGCGCTTGCGGCGCTCACCCTGGTTGCAGGGAAGCTCATCCGGCTCTTCCATGCGCCGCGGTGGGCGCTGGTCTTCACCCTGGCCGTCGTGGCCGCCGTGTTCGCCGCTGCAGCACGTCACGTGGGTGACTTCATCGTCTATGCCGACTGCTTCCTCATGAGGAACCACACCGTGACCCAGCAGCCCCTGCGCCTCGAGCGGGTCACGGGCCTCATGCTCAGGGAGGCGGAGAGCTTCCTGCAGAGGTGATTGGTGCGGGGCATGGTGGAAGAGCCCTGACCCTGACCCTCCCTCCCTCCCTCCTTCCTCTCTCGTTCCCATGGTGCCCTGTGAGGAGTCCAATGTCAAAGTCATATGCCAGGAGAGTGGGTGCCCAGAAGTGACAAGATAGACGTGTCACTCACGTGGACACGATAGACGTGTCACTCACGTGGACACGATAGACGTGTCACTCACGTGAACACGATAGACGTGTCACTCACGTGGACACTATAGACGTGTCACTCATGTGGACACTATAGACGTGTCATTACATGGACACGATAGACATGTCACTCACGTGAACACGATAGACGTGTCACTCACGTGGACACGATAGACGTGTTACGCACGTGGACACGATAGACGTGTCACTCACGTGGACACGATAGACGTGTTACGCACGTGGACACGATAGACGTGTCACTCACGTGGACACGATAGACGTGTTACGCACGTGGACACGATAGACGTGTCACTCACGTGGACACGATAGACTTGTCACTACATGGACACGATAGATGTGTCACTATATGGACACGATAGACGTGTTACTCACGTGGACACGATAGACGTGTCACTCACGTGGACACGATAGACGTGTCACTTATGTGAACACGATAGACGTGTCACTCACATGGACACGATAGACATGTCATTACATGGACATTATAGACGTGTCACTCATGTGGACACTATAGACATGTCATTACATGGACATTATAGACGTGTCACTCATGTGGACACTATAGACGTGTCATTACATGGACACGATAGACATGTCACTCACGTGAACACAATAGACGCGTCACTCACGTGAACACGATAGACGTGTCACTCACGTGGACACGATAGACATGTCATTACATGGACACGATAGACATGTCACTCACGTGAACACGATAGACGTGTCACTCACGTGGACACGATAGACATGTCATTACATGGACACTATAGACGTGTCACTACATGGACACTATAGACATGTCATTCACATGGAACAGGCTTAGCTGCGCTGCATACTTGAGTCTGAAATAGACTTATGGGAACCAGATTGGGGGGGGGAGTCAATAACCTGCTTGGTGGAGTCTCCAACCTTCAGCAGCTGAAAAGTAGGCGGAGGCAGGGGCATGGTGGGTTTGAGGATATCCTGGACATAGAGCCATAGACACATAGCGGTATTGATTGGTTGGTAGATTGGCGGATGGAGACTCAGAGCAGAGATCAGCACGTGGATGATTGACGGGTGAGCCATGAGTGGGCAACAGGATGGATGTTGAGGGATTGACTAACAGTTGATATGGAACTGCAGTCACTAATAGATGATAGATCAATGCATACCTGAGATCTACAGGCATGTAAGGATGACTGATGGACGAAGACAGGTGCAGATTAATCGACAGTTACGTGATTGACAGGTGATAGGTACTGATTGATACGGGCATATGATTGACAAATAGATACAGGTGATGGCTGATTGAAAGAAGATCGACAGGTGTAAGTACAGATTCACAGAAACATGACTGACAGGTGACTGGTAGATGACAGACGTCTGATGGACGGACAGAAAGTCGGGACAGAAACCACTGCTGACGTCATCGGGCTCCATGTGGAAGTGACTGAGGCCGAGAGGCAGTGATGTCACTGAGAACAGGAGGGACTGGCAAGGAGCTTCGTGTTTCCCCGTGGGCTGTGACATCTGGGCTCTGCCCATGGTCGCTGATGTCACTGTACCCCCCAGGAACAAGCATGGCCCCTTCATGCTGCTTGTATCCTTTCTGCACGTGCACACCCCCCTCGTGACTACCAAGGACTTCCAAGGGCGGAGCCAGCACGGGCCGTATGGGGACAATGTGGAGGAGATGGACTGGATGGTGGGTGAGTGGCGGGCACGGCCGCAGGGGACAGTGGGATGGCCCATGGAACCCCCACGTGCCGCTCTCCATGGGCCCACGTGTCCCTGGTCACAAGCGTCCGTCCTCGCAGGGCGGATCCTGGACACCCTGGACCAGGAAGGACTGACGAACAACACGCTCGTGTACTTTGCATCTGACCACGGAGGCTCCCTGGAGTCTCGTGCGGGTCACGTGCAGCTTGGGGGCTGGAACGGGGTGTACAGAGGTGAGCTCGGCACCCCACGCAGGCGCTTAATGCCAGCATTCTCTGCAAGCATCCCTTGGCTAGCGGCCCCATCCCTCCCTCCCAAGGCCCCTCCCTCTATCTCCTCCATTCTCTGCCTGCTTCCTTTTCCCTCCGTCCTTCTGGCTTGACGTCCACTTCCCAGCCTCACTCCCGGCCCATCCCTCACAGGTGGCAAAGGCATGGGTGGCTGGGAGGGCGGCATCCGCGTCCCTGCCATCTTTCGCTGGCCCGGCGTGCTGCCTGAGGGGCAGGTGGTGGATGAGCCCACGAGCATGATGGACGTGTTCCCCACTGTTGTCCTCCTGGGGGGCGGGGCCGAGCCGACCGACAGGTGAGTGATGACCTCACACAGGAAGTGGGCCTGGGTGACAGCTGCTGTCAGGTGAACACAAGGCCAAGCCTTAGGACCGGTGAGCCATGACATCAAACTGACAGCGTGATGTGGGTGTAGGGTGGGTGAGCAATGACGTCTAACCGGAAATAACCCTTGAGGGGCAGGTGGGGCCGTCACAGGGTGCACTGGCGGGAGACAAGGCTGCAGAGGACTGGAGTGACAGGTGTGAGAGGCTGTAAGGCCTCCATGTTGGCATTGTGGAGCACCTGTTTGATTGACAGCTGATGTGTCACCAACCCCTAGGGTGATTGACGGGAGGAACCTGCTGCCCTTGCTGCGAGGGGAGACCTCGCACTCGGACCACGAGTTCCTGTTGCACTACTGCGAGGTGTTCCTGCACGCTGCACGCTGGGTGCAACGTGACCGTGAGTGCACTCGTAACCCCTCTTCCTAGGCAGGGCGTGGCCCGGGTTAGGCTCCTCCCCATCTGTGTCAATGAAATCATTTTTAGGGGCTGCATGCTATTCCCTTCCCCTGAATAGACATGCTGCTGCATGTCTCTTCATCACTGTGACTGCCCTGCAGGAGGAAAAGTCTGGAAGGTTCACTTCATGACCCCCAAATTCCACCCAGAAGGGGCAGGAGCCTGCTACGGCCGTGCCGTGTGCCCGTGCTTCGGGGACGTGACGGAACACGACCCGCCTCTGCTCTTTGACCTCTCTACGGACCCGGGTGAGGCCCACCCACTGAAGCCCGACTTGGAGCCCGAGTTCCACGCGGTGGTGGAGAAACTGAGGCAGGAAGCGGTGAAGCAGTGGAGTTCACTGAGCCAGATCTACCAGCAACTGGGCACCATCTACAACATATGGCGTCCGTGGCTGCAGCCAAGTTGTGGGGAGTTCCCGCGCTATGGGTGTGATCTCGAGTGAGTGCGGGGCTTCACATGTCCATCACCTTCAGGATCGGCCATCACGGCCATCACAAAGCGATGTGGATGCTGTTGTGTGGTGTTGCACTTGTGTGGGTGTGACTGTGAAGAGTGAAGGGTGGGGCCTCACCTGTCCACCATAGTCGGAACCGGACATTAAGTACATAACCATGCATTGCTGTTGGGAGTTCCTGTAGATTTCTGCCGGCGGTTTGGTCTGCCTTTTGTGATTGCTACCTTGTCTCTGGTGCCTTCTGTTTGAAGTCTTACTGAGGGTTTTCTAGGGAAGCATAGCCTGTGCAAAACTTGGTTGGGAAAAACCAGGCAAACTGTGGTATTCTTTGACGGAGAATTTGCATTTGTCATTGTCCCTTTGAGAAGCTTAGATGAGCTATTTGGGGATGGGAAATCAACTTGCTAAAGGTGTGTAATCTGGATAACAATAAAAAAGCCCTTCGATAAGGGAGAGGTCTCAGTCTTGAGATGCTGATTCCCCCAGCAGCTATAAGGGCTAAAATCATGCGTAAGGTGTCCCTGTGTCTTCTTTCCATGGACCTGTGTGAAACCACACCCAATCCATAACATTTGCACCCAACATGGCAAAAAGAACAGGGGATTCCGCACACTATTAAGGACTGGACGAAGTTCGCTCTCAGGGTAAGAGGACTCCAAGATTGGCAGGGTCATGGGTAATTTAAATTCCCCATCCCAGGAGCAGCAAAATGTACGGTTGCTAAAACAAGCACTCAGGAGGCAGAAACAGTCAGATTCTTTCTTTCTTCCTTTTTTTTTTTTTTTTTTTTTTTTTTGGTTTTTCAAGACAGGGTTTGGAGGCTGTCCTGGAACTAGCTCTTGTAGACCAGTCTGGTCTTGAATTCACAGATGTCTGCCTGCCTCTGCCTCCCAAGTGCTGGGACTAAAGGCGTGCGCCACCACCTCCCGGCCAGTCAGATTTTCTGAGTGTGAGGCCAACCTGGTCTACAGAATGAGTTCTGAGGCTATACATATAAACCCTGTCTCATAAACACCAAAAAAAAAAAAAATCAAAGAAAGATCTACCTTTAATCTGGATCACACCTTTTAGTGAGTTGCCTACACATATAAAGGATATTGAAGAAGGAAGCTCTCTCTCTGCCTGCTTGCCCTAGCTCTGGCTAACAAGTTGATTCCTTTACCAACATTAGAGCCTGCTTCCTTGGAATTTTGGTGTATATGGAGGACCAGCTGAGGTATCTAGCCTCATGAACTGAATAACCAGTGGACTCCAGATTTCTATTGGTAGGCAGCCATTGTTGGACTCCCTGGACCACAGCTTGTAAAACATTCTAACAAATCCGTTTTCTATATATTTGAAGAGATTCATTCTATCAGTCCTGTCTATGTAAAGTAAAGGGTCCAGGAATATGGAAATACAAAAATGTAAGCCCAAACACATTTTGGAAAAAAAAATACATAAAGTAGGCAGCCACTGCTACCCTTTAAGAATTGCTTTCTGCCTCAAGGACAGACATCTTGGCAGCCACTGTGTACTGAGGTAAACTTTTAACAATTGTCTGCTGCCTCTCTGCTGGGCAGGAACAGCAGATAATGGTAATCTCTAAACTTTGCCTCTATGGGATCCTCAGTGTTGTATCCCCTTAATATTGAACTGTCCTATGCAACTCTACTCTCTGCCTTGCATCCTTTCAGAGACAGCAAAAAAGTGGCTGCATGTAAGAGTAAACGGAGAGGCAGAAGCCTGGCTGGAAGGACATTAGGAAAGCGAACATAGACTGGGTCCTGACTACTAGAGATGAGAATGAAGGAGAGTGTACATGTATGGCCGAGTGTGGCAAGCCGAGAAGCCAGCCCACTAAGCTGAGAGCCACCCGATCCAGTACAAGACATCGAAGACCAGAGACCTCGGTGGACTCAATGCTTAAATCAGAAGGACCAAAAATTAAAATTAATAAAAGTTTAAAAACTTGGGCCCTAAATCTATGCAGAGAAAGGGAACTCCCAATGGTAAAGGGAAAATTTAACTCCTTAAATCAGGAGTGCCATGGCTGGTGCCTGAGCCCCTGCTCTCAGAGAAGGGGAGGTGACTGTCTGATGGGGGAAGTCCTTCTGTGTATGATTGTCTTATTGGTTGATAGATAAATTACTGTTGGCCAATAAGAAAACAAGATAGGTGGGTCTAGGAGTCAAGGAGGATTCTAGGAAAGGCAGATTCACCATGTGAGCCAGGAAGACAGGACGCTTCCGCTGGCGTCTGATAAGTCTTATAAAATATATAGATTTAATAAGACTGAGCTAGCAGATGAGAAATCCTAGTCATTGGCCAAGCAGCATTTGTACCTAATATAATTCTCTGTATGCTACCTGGGATCATAACATGGTGGCGGGTGGAACTTGGGTGACCTGGTGTTAAGTGCCCATGTGGCAGGAAGGCTCTGGCGGCTTGGCGTAAAGACTTATTGTTACAGAATGGTGTCAGAAGGTGACAGAGGAAGCAGAGAACCTGCCACCGTTGCAGCCTGCCCTATGCAGCCTATGGAGCAGCTACCATATGCTCGTGCCATCCCATGCTCTTGGGGGTTGGACTCGGCACTCCTAAGACAGCCTGAAGCCAGCCCTCAAGAGTTCTAGAGTTAGGATTCTGGGCACTAATCACACGAGCCGCCTTCCCACGACTAGTCAAGCAGCGGCAGAACCCAGGCAGCTGGCAGTAATGTTACAAACGTCCAAGTAAAGCTTACAAAACTTAAAAAGGGTTTTATCAGCAAAAGAACACAGAAAAGCAAGACTTCTTGGTAGCAGCATTTTCTCGAGTGTTATCTGTTTTGCTAGAGACAAGCAGAGACTCGGTTCCTTTAAAAGAGGTTTTCTGACTCGGCATAAATGGCTTTTTAATTTTCTATTTCTTTTACTTCCTTTTGTTTCTTTTATCCTGAGATAGGATTTCTTTGTGGAAATCTGCCTGCCTCTGCTTTTGGAGTGCTGGGATTAAAGGCATGGGCCACCAACACCTGGCCTTGAAGTCTCAGAGATTCACAGGGATTCTTTAAGAGGCCAGACTAGCTCAGTCGGTAGAACATGAGACTTTTGATGTGGGTTCATGCTCCACGCAGCTGACAGTGGCAGTGACCACATCTCCAAGCCTGCAGCATGCTCCTTGGAAAACAGCAGCTAAGAAAGCCACCACTTTAATTTTGGCGGTGTTGTTTAACAGTTAAAAGACTGGTGGCCAGAAAAAGGTAAAGATTTACAGTAAAGACAGATCCAGATAAAGAAAAAGCTCTAAAGGTTTTCAATGTACTTAAAAACATATGTAGGCTTGTGAGAGAAAAAGAGGAAGAAAAAAAATAGAGTAGCTGGGTGGTGGTGGCACACACCTTTAATCCCAGCACTCAGGAGCCAGGGGCCTATAGAGAGCACATTAACCAGTTTATTATAGGGTGGGAGAGAGACGGGGGGTTGGAGGGAGAAAAACAGAACAGGGCGGGGGGGGGGGGTGGGGGAGAGAGCACAGAGAGAGAGGGGC